TGCCCAAACTCCAGTCTGCTAATTTCACGCTTTACAATCACCAACCTTCAGATATATTGACGCATGTGTCTCTCAGATGAACATGACTACAAACTGATGAGATTTTTATTGTAATTTATAGCCAATTTCCTATTGTACTTTAGTGGGGAGCATTACTTGCTAATGTTTATTCTGCCATTTCTCTGAAAGGACCTGTCATGATCTTTGTTTCTTGTTTGTCTGTTTTCTTCTATGAATTTTGTTTTAAGGTTGCCCTGAGATTATTAACTAACATTCCATATTTGTGGTCTACCGGGCCAATTAACCTCACACTCATTTTAGTGGGACACATTTTACTCTTCCACCCTTCTCCTTTCTTTAATTTTGGTGTCTTACAATTTATAGGTGGGATTGCATTTCATTTTTAGAGTCCCTTTAATAGTTATTGCAAAGTCAGTTTGGTGGTAATGAACTAGTTTAATCTGTGTTTATTTGTAAAAGAATTGCTTTAATTTTAGAGGATAGTCCGGCAGGGTTGCATATTGTCAGCTGAAAATTATCTCAATATTTTCAAAATCAAGTGCTGAAATGTTCTATTAGCACTTTAGCTGAAGTGCTCTATCATGCTATTCTTCATTGTCCTGCAAGATTTCAAGTGTGTATATAACATTATAGGAGTTCTCTTTTGTGTGAGTTTCCCCCTTTATGCCTATAACAGTCTGTTCTTATCTTTAGTTTTTAACACTTCAATTATACTATGTCTTGGGGTGAAGTCTGCGTGAGTTTATTTTCTTCAAAACTATTTGAATCCCTTGCGTTTGAATTTTTATTCCTTCCTCCAACCAGTGAAGTTCTTGGCTATCATTTCTTCAAGTAGAGATTATATGTCTCTCTATTCTCTTTCTGGGATTCCTATAATTAGGATAGTGCTACTCTTGGTGTTGTCCCATAGATATCTTACACTATTTTAATATTTGCTGCTCTGAACAGCCATTTTCCACTTCCATGTGTTTCACTTGATCACTTGATCACTTGACTTCCCGTTAATCGTCGATTTGCTCGAGCGGGCACCAGTAATGTCTCCATTTGTCCCTGTCGCGTGCTAGTGTAGCCCAATGGCGTCTGTTCGTTCTAGGAACACGAAGAGCCTCAAACCGATCGCTCAGGATCTTGATGAAGAAGTCTGACCATCTGGTAGGTGGGCAGCCACGTGGTCTTTTGACGTCCCGTGGAATCCAGTCGGTAATGGCTCTAGTCCAGCGGTCGTCTCTAAATCTCATTACGTGTCCAGCCCATCTGATTTTTGACGCCTTGGCAAACGAGACAGTGTCCCTGATTCTTGATCATCGATGGAGGTCTGAACTCCAGATTCTTTCTCTCATTTGAGTGAAACGTGATACTCCAAGCATAGCTCTTTCAATTCCTCATGTGTTTCAACTCACCAATTATATCACTGACTTCTTGTTTAGTGTTAAACCCCTCTACTGTATTTTTTATTTCATGTTTTAAAAAACTGATTGTTTTTGTGTCCTGAAATCACATACTCGGTACAGTTGTTGTGTACAGTGGTTTTACTTGTCTTGCTAAGATCACATTCATTTGACACAGTCTGGTGCCAGAGAATGAACTCAGGGTCCTCAAAACAAGCAAACAAACAACAACAACAACAACAACAACAAAAACCAGGACTTACTCCTGACTCAGGGATCACTCCTGTTGGTGCTCAGGGGACCCAAGGTGGTGCTGGATATCAGACCACCTGAGTCAGCCATGTAATAGGCAAGTGCCTTAAGGTCTGTATTCTTTTTGATAATATATTTGATTTGGTAAAGAGTTCCTGTGTCATCGGGTTCACCAACTTATTCTTCTAAACAAACTTCTAAATCCTTTGTGAGGTTCCCCAGTGGGATGGGTAACCACTGGAGTTCTCATTAGAATTGCATGAAAAATAATTTGACAATTGATCTAAGGACTGTTTTTCTACCCAGGAAAATGGACTATGTCAATATTTTACTGTCTTGTTAAATGTTGTATTTCTAGTAACACATTTATAATTTTCTCCAGATGAAGTATAGTTTATTATATTGATTATGTTTTTTAAATGCATTTGTCAGCATTATAAAAGTTTATTGGTTTTATGGGGCTGAAGCAATAGCACAGCGTGTAGGGTGTTTTCCTTGCACACAGCCGACCCAGGTTCGATTCCCAGCATCCCATATGGTGGTCTCCTGAGCATCACCAGAAGTAATTCCTGAGTGCATGAGCCAGTAGTAACCCCTGTGCAACACCGGGTTTGACCCAAAAAGCAAAAAAAAAAAAAGTTTGTTGGTTTTTATAAAATTGTTTGTACCCCTTTGTGAAATTTGTTAATTCATTCTGAGAGGTTTAGTTGTTACTCCTCTTAAATTTAATTTATAGGAATAGTTTTCTGCAAATTATATCAATCCATTTCTCAACTGTTAGAATTATTTTTAAAATTTTTTTTTTGCAGGGGAAGGGATTACACCCAGCAATGCTCAGGAATTATTATTTTCTCTGCACTCAGGAATTACTCCTGGTGATGCTTGGGGGACCATAAGGGAAACCAGAGATTGAACCTCGTCTTCCGTATGCAAGGCAAATGCCCTACCCACTGTACTGTCACTCCAGCCCCCTCAACTGTTAGAATTCTTATTTCTGTATTTTATTGCATTAGCTAGACCTCCCAAACAATTTAATCGTGGTGAATCTTGTCTTGCTTCTGAACTTTTTTGCTTGCTCAGGAATTCTGTGCTCAGGAATCACTCCTGGTGGTGTTTAGGGGACCATATGTGATGTTGGGTATCAAATCCAGGTCAGCTGTGCAAGACAAGGAACATGAAATATGTCTACATTTACTGTCTTGTTAGATGTTGAATTCAGAGTAACACATTTATAATTTTCTTCAGATGGAATGTAATTGATTATATTGATTATATTTTCTAAATGGCAAATGCATTTGCCATTTAGAAAATATAATCAGTACCCCAGTACTCTCTCTCTGACCCCAGTGCATTTTTCTGGTTTACCACTCTTATTATCAGAACATAGATTAAGAATTGATATTGTGCCAGGAGTGACCCAGAGGTACTAGCACGGTTGCCAGGAATGACCTCTGAACACCACAGAGTGTGCATTCCGTAAACCTCAACATTAGAAATGTATTCAAAGACTCAACTTTAACTGCAAGTAAAACAAAAAACAAAACACTGAAACACTGTTCTCCCATTGTTCATCGATTTTGCTCGAGCAGCCCCAGTAACGTCTCCATTTTGAGACTTGTTGTTACTGTGTTTGGCATATCGAATATGTCACGGGGAGCTTGCCAGGCTTTGCCATGCGGGCAGGATACTCTCGGTAGCTTGCCGGGCTCTTCGAGAGGGACGGAGGAATTCATGCAAGGCAAATGCCCTCCTTGCTGTGCTATCACTCCAGTCCCAATAATTCATTAGTGGCATTATAATAAAGGTGTGAAGTGGGTACAGTTGGAACACAAAGTTATGATTCTGGCTGTTTATCTTTGATCTGGGTCTAGAATAATGAATCTGTGAAAGAGACAAAGATGGGCAAGGCAAGCAGAGCAAAGGTACATAATAGTTGGGCATCTTTGGTTAATTTTATGGGCAGAGAAAGAGGTGGGAACAACAGATATAAGGAAGGCAACAAGAAATCAGGTCATGAAAGTCCCTAAGTTCCCTGGCAAGGATTCCATGGTGGGTTGGAAGACAGGTCAAAAAGACAAGTTGTTTTGAGAGACTGTCAAGGTCTTTAAGTGGCAGACTGTGAAACACAGGTTAGCTAACAAAGCCAGAGAAAGTGGAAGTCAGGAGGTTGAAGAATAATGAGGATGTAACTGAGGATGCAAAGATAAAACAGAACCCATGATTTGCAAGAGCTTTGCAAAAACCCATGATTTCTGGTGCCTTTAAGGCCTTGTATATTCTGAAGTTATTCAATTTCTTAAACAATAAGCTTTTTAAAAAATTTTTTAATTTTTATTTTTTATTTATTTATTTTTTATTTTTATTAGTGAGACATCATGAGGTACAGTTGTAGATTTACAAATTTTTGTGCTTGGGTTTCAATTATACAATGATCGAGTACCCATCCCTCCACCGGTGCCCATTTTCCACCACCCTGGGTCCCAGTATGCCTCCCACCCCCCATCCCCCCCATCCCACCCTGCCTCTGTGGCAGGGCATTCCCTTTTGTTCTCTCTCTTATTGGGTGTTGTGGTTTGCAAAAGAGGCAATGGGTAACAATCATGTTTGGTCTATAGTCTACTTTCAGCAAGACGATAAGCTTTTTTTTAATTCTATTTTTTTAATCACTGTGAGATACAGTTACAAAGCTTTCCTGCTTAAGTTTCATACAATGATCGATCACGCACCCCTCTACCAGTGCACATCTTCCACCCCCAAGGTCTCCAATATCCCCCATCCCACCCCTCCCCTTGCCTCTATGGCAGACAATCTCCCCCATACTCTTTTTGTATTACTTGTTACAAATAGCTTAAGATGTCACGTGGCCGCAAGCGCAGTCATGTGCTCCTGGTATTCTAAAATTTTAGATAATTAGGGCCTGGAGAAATCTCTGCAGCAAGCTGCTCAGTTCAGAGATTCTTTTGTGAGTCTCTGGATCATTGCCATTAAGGAGCTTAATTAGCAACTGGAGGCAGTTTGTGGGCATGACCTCCAAGGTCCCATGGGGTGCAGGGGGGATGAGAAGGACCAGCTTCTCATCCCTATCCCTTGTGGTCTAGAGTTTGTCATCACTAAACCCGCATCCCTGTACTTCTCATTGGGTTCTGGAGGTTGGCAGCTGCCAGGGTTCTTAGGGGGCAGGCGGAGAAGGGACGCCTGCCCCCATCTGAGCTGCACTGGTGAAGTTGGCCTGGCTTAAAATCTCAAGGCATCTCTGAAGCGAGCTGCTCGGTTCAGAGATTCTTTTGTGTTAACCGATAAGCTTTAATTGGAATTATGAACCCATTGTATCTATTTCAGATGGACGACTCAAGATACATAGGGGACGAAGACAATCCCCCTAACCCACGTAGTAGACGGTCTGACTCCATGGGCCTGGGGTCTGTCGGAGAGGAAGATTCAGAGCTTGATGCGGCCCTGAAGCACTTAATGGATTCAGAACATGACAATGAGCTCGAGAGAGTGCCTGAGTCCGAGTTGGAGCCTGAGTCCGAGCTGGAAACCGAGTCTGTGCCCACATCACAGCCTGAACCCAGACGTAGGTCAAGGATTTACACTTACCCCGTGGTGGATGTCTGGCCTCCACGCCCATCCTCCTATCCCAGCCCCCCAACTCAGACTTATCCTTCGACATGGACGGCATACCCAAGGAACAGATTAGCGTCTTCACAATCACCCGAGTCTACGAATATTAAATATCCCTTCAAAAAGAGCTATAAATAGAGGGTGATATTCCCTTGGTGGTTGCTCCCTCGCCCAGTGGGGTCATTTGGTCATTTGGTAACGACATAAGTTACCAGACAGAGGTCCTTACTCTGGTCTTCTTCCTCACTCATCCCTGAGGTCTCCCTCTCACATCATAATACTCAACACCAAAGGAAAGATCTCTGGATCCCCTATCCAGACTCGCCTCATTCCACCTCCCACACATATTTTAGTGAAGGATTTCTTTCCTCAAACACCATACACCTCTGGGGTTGTTTTGGCCAGGCCATCTCTCGTTTACTCCTCTCATCTCTGTTCCCCTTGCTCCAGAGAGGGGACGCTCAAATAAAATATAAAACTAGCTCTATTTGGATCTTTCCTGCACCCTTTCCTTTCTCTGTGTTCTGCAAGGGAACGTGGGGTGGAAGAAATTCCAAAAGTTGTTGGAAATGGTGGAGAAAGAGATATGCAAGAAGAAAAAGAGACTGGGGAGCATTTGTATTTTATAGGTCAGGTCTCTCACTCACAGATAGTGGAGAGGGGCCAATCAAGAGCCTTTGAGAATGAATTGTTACAATGAAAGCACCTTGACCAACACTCCAAGGTCAGGATCTCTTCCTAGTTTTCAAATTCTCAACCACCATACCTTCTTTCTGATAGTTTCTAAGCTATAACAAATCACAAATCTGTATTTTTGTTGGATCAAATTTGTTGCAATCTGCGACAGACATAAATCTCTTACAAGTTGGAAAAGCTTATCATAATTGGAACAGGGAGATCCTTCCGATGGTAATGCACATAGCCAGTAAGTGCAAGGCCCTAAATTTGATGACCAGGATCAAATGAGCCCCCAAGCAATATCCTAGGGTTATGGTCACTGTCACTGTTCTCCCATTGTTCATCGATTTGCTCGAGTTGGCCCAGTAACAGTAACAACAAGTCTCACAATGGAGACGTTACTGGGCCCACTTGAGGGTTATGGTATAAGACTAAATAAATAAATGTCAATCATAACTAGCTTGGTTCAAATCCAGTTTTCAAAAATTACCCTCCAGCATTGGAAAAAAATCTATTATTAAGCTACAACCAAAAGAGAAGTAAAGACCTCTGGGCTAAGGTACATGAAATCCTAAATCTCATTTGCCATTCAATAAACAAGATTCTTCTGGCTTGGGTACTTAATCTCCTTTGTCTATTAAAGAAATTTTTGTTAGCATCTAGGTGTCTTTTAACACAGCTAGCTCATTCTACAAACATTTACTAAGTACCACATACACAGCACCAGAAACTAGGGTAGATCCCTACTTTACACATGCCTAAGAAAACTCAGGTTTTGTATCCAGCTTAAAGTCATTGGGTACTTAGGGGCTGGAGTGATGGTACAGTGGGTAGTTCATTTGCCTTGTATGCAGTTGATCTGGGTTTGATTCCCGGAATTCCACCAGAAGGAATTCCTGAGTGCAGAGCCAGGGATAAGACCTGAGCATCACCAGATGTGACCCCAAAAGCCAAAACAAAACAAAACAAAAAAACAAAGTCAAGGGATATGATGCCACCAACAGGTCAACCTGTACCTTGTGGGGCAAGTGCATCAGCAGCCTAATGTTGCTTCAGAGTTCCTGACACCCCAAAATTGCCACCGTGCCTTTGGCTGGACCCCAACAACTTGGGACCAAGTTTACCAAGAAATTAAATGGCCAAAAGTTAGGTATGTGGGAGCCACACCCACAAACCACCTCCGGCTCAGTTATACAATCTCATTTATTGGCCTTATTTTAAAGACCCATAAATCTTGAAAGAGATAAAAGCCGAAAGAGATCAAAAGCCACAGTTAGGGCTGGTGGCATATTCTGGGAGAGTGACAAGCCCTGCAGGGCATATGCCAGTAGTTTATTTCTCTGGAAAAGATGGGGGAAAAAAGGGCCATGATCCAGAGACACATAAAAGAATCTCCAAACCAAGCAGCTTGCTACAGAGATGCCTCCAGACTTTAAGCCAGGCCGACTTACTGGGATGCCTCAGACAGGTGTAGGTATTGTCCCTCCACCTCTCCCCTAAAAGCCCCAGCCCCCGCCAAGTTCCAGAACCCAGTGATAAGTGCAGGTACGTGGGTTCAGTGACAGCAAACTCCAGGCCTCAAGGGATAGGAGATGGGCTGACCCTTCTCATCCCCCATTCCCATGGGACCCTGGAGGTCGCCCACAAACTACCTCTGGCTGCTATTTAAGCTCCTTAATGGCCATGATCCAGAAATATACAAAAGAATCCCCGAACTGAGCAGCTCACTGCAGAGATTTCTCCAGACCCTAATTATCTAAAATTTCAGAATTCCAGGAGTGCACGGCTGCAAAATCTTATGCTATTCTTAATAAGCAATACAAAAGAGAGTATAGAGGAGATTGTCTGCCATAGAGACAGGGAGAGGGGTGTGATGGGGGGAGATACTAGGGACCTTGGTGGGGGAAGATGTGCAGTGGTGAAGGGTTGGGTGTTCTATCACTGCATGACTGAAACTTAAACAGGAAAGCTTTACAACTGTATCTCACAGTAACTAAAAAATAATAATAAAATAATAAATTAACAAAACAAACACTGTCCTCCCGTTGTTCGTCGATTTGCTCGAGCGGGCCCAGTAACATCTCAATTTTGAGACATTGTTACTGTGTTTGGCATATCAAATACATCATGGGTAGCTTGCCAGGCTTTGCCGTGCGGTTGAGATTCTCTCGGTAGCTTGCCGGGCACTCTGAGAGGGGCGGAGGAATCGAACCCAGCTCCGCTGGACTGGCTGCGTGCAAGGCAAACGCCCTACCACTGAGCCATCGCGCCAGCCCCAATAAATTAACATTCTGAATAAAAAAATGTCGGATGGATTTCATGCCCAATTCAATCAGCTTAATCAATGACTGAATAAATAGCTGTACTCCTACATTAAAAAAATAAAAAACAAACAAAAACCCAAAATTATTGGGTACAATTTTACCCTAAAGAGGTAAGTGCCCAAGTTACGGCTGCATTCATTTACTCAGCACATTTATTGATCTCCAGTCATGTGCCAGGCTCTGTCCCAGCTGCTAAAGCTATAAGAAGCACAGAACAGATGACAAAAAAAACCTTGGCTGATACTCAACCTATCTCAGTTGCCAAGAAAAGTTCTTCCTATGGCAATAGCAAATGATATGGCATTCGAAAGATGTGTAGGAATTACCCTGAGAGCAAATACCTGGACTTGAAATAGTACAAGGATTTAGGTACTTTCCTTGCATCCTACTAAACCTGGTTTAATCCCTAGCTGTGCATATGATGCCCTAAGCACACCTGAGCATAGAGCCAGGAATAACCATTGAGTATTGCCAGGTGTGGCCTGAAAACATACAATAAAAATATCCAGAAGATCCAGTGATGACCAGAGTAGAGCCAAGAAGGAGGCCAGGAGTAGTGTTTACAAGTGGGAACAGAAGCGGGTCATCCAGGGACACAGCAAGATAGAACCTCAGGGCAATTACAATGGGAACGAGAGCTGAACCAAAAAGCAACAGAACCCAGGAATACATCACCTGAAAATTTATTCTGGTGATAGAGAAAGATAAAGATGTGTCAAACGATCAACAACATTTCACATTTAAAACTGGGGACTGAGAAACAGTACAGTGATTAGGGGCTTGAGCTCAAGCATCACATGGCCTCCTGAACATTATAGGTACATCCATGGAGGTGCCCAAGCACTACTGGGGTAGCCCTGGTGGTCCCCAGCATCATAGCTTTGACTGTCACCAAAACTTCAGACTTTAGCACTGAACCAACAGCTGGTTTGGCCAAGTATCACCTAGAGTGCTACTTGGGTTCCATGAGCATTGTTTGTGAATCCCCCACTCCTCCCACACACAATAGATTAAACATGAGATTGGGAAGTGCTTGGAGAATCTAATTTCACTGGATACGTGGCTGAAAAAGCTGGAGTACATGCTTTGCACTCAGGAGTCCTAGGTCTAATCCCAGACACCAAACAGCCCCTCAATTACCTCCGGGAGTGATCAGCCATTCATGACCTGAAAACAAAAAAAAATATATCAAAAATAAGAATCCAATTTCTGTGGACTGCTACCTGTCACTCCAACTCCATCTCCTACTATCAGGGGAGGGACTTTAACACCAATTCAATTTGGCAATTGAGCAGCAAGAGGTAAGGATTAGATTTTGGTTGTTACTGCTACAACTGCATACAGTAAAATCTTGGTTTTTGATGCATGACTTTGAAGATACCAACAAAATGCTTGGATTCAAATAAGTAAATTAGTAAAATTCTGCTACAAACCCGTAGCATCCTTTTCCTCAACAACAACAAATAAGAAAAATGCTCATTGATTGTAACTAGTTCAGCACTTAAGAAGAGTTAAAGTGAGTTAACAGGGGCTGGAGCAATAGTAGGTTGTTTGCCTTGCAACCAGTCAACCCAGATTTAATACCCAGCATCCCATATGGTCCCCTGAGCACCACCAGGAGTAATTACTGAGTGCAAAGTAACCTCTGAGTGACACAAAAAGAAAAATAAATAAATAAAGTGAGTTGACACTTCAAGGCTAAGTTTTCTTCCAAAACACAGATCACCTGTAATTCTAAGGTATTTCAATTTTACAAAATATGACTTAGGTTAATTATCTCACTTTAGAGAAGGGTTATCCTTCAAGTTATTATAGTTTGATGAGAAATTAGAGCAAAATTCCAAAGATTTAAAAAAACAGTATATATTTGATCTGGAAGTGTCTTAACACAAATTTTTCTTCTTCATGGGAAAAAAAAATTTCAGAGCAGCTATTATCTACATTAAATAAATAAGACTGGGGGTATGATTTTTGGAGGTGGAAAATAAAGTGGAGTCAATAAAACTGTGGAAAAAATAGGTTTGGAAAATAAACTGCTGAAAATCTGTGAGGCATCACAAGACCAATGGCTCACACCTTGAGACTCACACTTGCCTAATTTAGAGGATTTTGTTTGTTTCATTTTGACACCACACTAGAAATGCTCAGGGTTAACTCGCATCTCTACGCTCAGAAATCACTCCTGGTGTTACTCAGGGACAAAATGGGATGTGGGGAGTTGAACTGGGTTAGCCATATGCAAGGTAAACACCCTACCCATGGTACTATCTCTCCAGTTCATGACTTAGAGGATATTGAGACAACACTTGTTGAGATGTGGGAAGAACGTAAATTTTGGGAGGCCAGGGGCCTTAGGCTATGACCTAAATATCTGTGCCCTCAAAAATTCATCTGTTAAAATCTTAACTCCCTTTTTTTTCTCTCGTTGGGAATGCCCTGCCGCAGAGGCAGGGTGGGATGGGGGGGAGATGGGGGGGAGGGATACTGGGATCCATGGTGATGGAAAATGGGCACTGATGGAGGGGTGAGTGTTTGATCATTGTATAATCGAACCCCAAGCCAAAAATTTGTAAGTCTACAACTGTACCTCATGGCGTTTTACTAATAAAAATTTTTTAAAAAATCTTAAACCCCGAGGTATTAAGTGGAAGACTTTGGGAGGTGTTCAAGTCACTCTTGTAATACACTGGATTCATACCATATAAAAGAGACCTTGAAGAGCTTCCTCTTCTCTTCCACCCTGTGAGGACACAGCAAGAAGGTAGCCCTCGACGCCCCTGGCAGACACCAAACCTGCCAGCACTTAATCCACTTAATCTCTGATTTTCCTTCATACAGAAACGTGAGAAGTCGATGTCTGCTGTGTATAAGACACCAACATCTAGCATTTTCTTATAGCAGCCAAATGAATGGAGATAAGTAGAAACAGAAATGTTTCACATCTATACTCAGTCACTTTTATTAGTAGATATAGATGTAATAGTAGAAATCCCAATTCATTCATGCTCTTGACCTTATAGCAGAGGAAGGACCATGAAAACCCAGTTTTTCACAATCATACTTAATTCCACAAATGCTTATTAAAACATCGAGTCATCTGATACCCCAAAATTGCCACTGTGCCTTTGGCTGGACCCCAACAACTTGGGACCAAGTTTACCAAGAAATTAAACGGCAAAAGTTAGGTGTGTGGGCGTCACACCCACAAACCACCTCCGGCTCAGATATACAAGCCATTTATTGACCTTATTTTAGAGACCCATAAATCTCGAAAGAAATCAAAAGCCACAATTAGGGCCAGCAGTGCAGTGTGCTGCAGGCGAGCGGGCACACCCTATAGGGCATATGTCGATAGTTAATTTCCCTGGAAAAGATGGATATAAGGGCCATGATCCAGAGACACACAAAAGAATCTCTAAACCGAACAGCTCGCTGTACGATGCCTCCAAACTTTAAGCCAAACCGACCTCACCAGGTTGTCTTAGATGGGGGCAGGCATTGTCCCTCCACCTGTCCCCTAAAAACCCCGGCAGCCACCAACTTCCAGAACCCAATGAGAAGGGCTGGCACACATGTTCAGAGACACAAACTCTAGGCCTCAAGGGATAGGGGATGGGCTGGTCCCTTTCATCCCCCTGTCCCCATGGGACCCTTGAGGTCACGCCCACAAACTGTCCCCCAGCTGCTATTTAAGCTCCTTAATGGCCATGATCCAGAGACCACAAAAGAAGCTCTGAACTGAGCAACTCACTGCAGAGATTTCTCCAGAACATAATTATCTAAAATTTTAGAATTCCAGGAGCACGTGGTCATGACACGCGACATCTTATGCTATTCATAACAAGCAATACAAAAGAGAGTATGAGGGGGGCTGGAGCGATAGCACAGCGGGTAGGGCGTTTGCCTTGCACGTGGCCGACCCGGGTTCGATTCCCAGCATCCCATATGGTCCCCTGAGCACCGCCAGGGGTAATTCCTGAGCGCAGAGCCAGAAGTGACCCCTGTGCATTGCGAAGTGTGACCCCCCCAAAAAAAGAGAGAGAGCACGAGGGAGATTGTCTGCCATAGAGGCAGAGGGAGGGGTAGGATGGGGGGGATGCTAAGGACTTTGGTGGTAGAAGATGTTCACTGGTGGACGGTTGGGCATCAATCATTGTATGACTGAAGGAAAGCTTTATAACTGTATCTCATGGTGATTAAAAAAAATTGGAAAAAAAAAAACACCCAGTCATCTTCCATACAATCTGTTTTTAAGCCTTAGCTGTATAATCATCATTTCAAATATGTTGTGCAAAACCTTAAAACCAGTCATGCAATCACATTTGATTCTGAAATCTGGGCTGTTGCTTAGCTAGGCCTACTCATGAGATTCTAGTCACTTAGAGACTCGGTGGGAGCTTCATATCAAAGATTGGCTTTACTAATGTCTGGTCCCTCCACTGGAGTGACTGGGATTGCTGGGGGTTGGCCAGGCAGCTCTCTTTCTCTCTCACGCAGTTTCTCCAGGTCTTATATGATAATGAGACTCAAGACAGTTTCACCAACCACATACTGCTCATCCAAGCAAATAAGCTAGTTAAATGTTGATTCGGTGTGTGTGTGTTCTGGAGGGGGGTTAATGAGAATCATTCCACTTTCTGAAGGGAAAGTTCACTGCACTTCCTTTTTGATTTTTCCATTTGTGCTCAGAGCTTACTCCTGGTTCTGTACTCAGAAATTACTCCTGGAGGTGCTTGGGGGGACCATATGTGATGCCAGGATATTTACTTTATTTTATTGACTGAGGTACTATGATTTACAATATTGTTAATGATAGTTTCATGTGTAGATAATTCCCACATTTCACCCATCACCAGGATATCCACCTCCCTCTCCCAAGGTTACTAAGGCTTTCTTTCCTTTTTGTTTTTCAGGGGAGAGCATGAATATTGTCCCCCACTACCACAAATTTTGCAGTCAAGTTTCCCACATTTGGGGAAATTGCAGGGGTCAGTACATCTGGAGTGCAATGGATAAGCCTCACCCTTGGAAAACCACCTTCATGATTATGGCATCTCCCCTGTCAGGTTAAGTATGCTCCCCTCTCTTTCAAACCCCACCCCTAAACTCAGTTATGTGGATTGATTCTCTCATGGTGTCAACGTGTTCCTTTGTTGCTACCTTGCTTTAAGTCCCATACATGAGAGAGATCATTCTGTATGTGACCCTTTCCTACTGACTGACTTCATTCCACACAATACCCTCTAGTTCAATCCCTGGTGCCAGAGATTCAATCTCTAGTTCAATGGTGGTGCCAGAATTTGAACCAGAGTCAGTTGTGTGCAAGGCAAATGCCTTCCCCCTTTACCACCTCTCCAATGGCTCAGTGGAGGAAGGAATTCTTTTCCTTTCTCCATGAAGGAAAAGAATATGTAGCCATTTCCAATCCATCTCACAAGTATAAAGCACAAGTATAAAGGGATGAGTCAAATATGATTTCTGCCCTCAGAGATCTCCCAGAACTGCAGACACTATGGAAAGGGCATTCCACTGAGTCATAAAGGAAAAGGTGACAGAGGGTAAAATGCTAGAAAAATATTAAGGCTGGGAAGGATGAGAAGAATGTGGATCAGAGAAACTACCAAGAACTAAGAGTTGAACCAAGCATTAAGAATGAGTTGGAATTATCACATCTGATCAGAGTACCATCTATGAAATAATCTTGCCAAAATAATAAACCTGAATATTATAAATCCTCTAGATCCATCTTCAATGTGCTAGGAAATACAGAGGCCAGAAGAACATGTTAATTGATACTAAACAGAGGCAACCATCAGAATCCAGAAAAACACAATGGTACCAATGGGCCAGTTTCTCAAAAACAAGCTGAAAAACCAGTTCAATAACAAAAGAATGAGAGAGAAGCATTATATAAATTAAGAGACTGAAGAATCATATCAAGGACCAAGCTAACTGTAAGCTGAATAGGATGTTTGCCTTACATGTGGCCAACTAAATAGAAAGGGTGCGGACTTTGTTTGAATCCCGATTTCAACAAACTGGAAAAGAACCTGAAAAACCTTCTACTCCTGATTAAATTATAATTGGAAGTGAGAGATTATCACTCCCTCTATGTCAAAACAAGGATCACTGAATTAATATATATAAAGCTACCAGAAAGTAATATTTATAAAGCTACCAGAGAAGTCTAAATGAATGAGTAAAGCTCAGTGAATCAGACAGATCTAGAGTTTCACCTTTATCTGATTTAGATTGTATTTAGAAAAGACTTTGGACTTAGACCTTGAGAGGAAGCAAGTTGAGAGTTGAGATTATTGACTGTTTTCTTTTTTAAAGGATTTTTTAAAAAAAGATTTCTGGGGCTGGGGATGAAGCTCAGTGGTAGAGTGTTTTCATGTGTAGGTTAAATATATCCTACACACACACACACACACACACATATATACATATATATATATATATATATATATATATATATATTTCCCTTCCCACCCTGAATCTCACTCAATGCAGGTGTTCTCCTTAAGTAGCACTGTCCTCCGGTTGTTCACCGATTTTGCTTGAGCAGGTAGGATGTTTGCCTTGTACGCACGCAGCCAACCGGGCCGACCCATGTTCGATTCCTTTGCCCCTCTTGGAGAGCCCGGCAAGCTACCCAGAGTATCTCGCCCACACGGCAAAGCCTGGCAAGCTCCCTGTGATGTATTCGATATGCCAAACACAGTAACAACAAGTTTCACAGTGTTCTCCTTAAGTAAAGGGACTTTATTAGGATAAGACAAAACCAATGAAATTTCTGATGGCCACTTGGATTATCATGACAGGTGTGTTGGTTTCCTCTTGGAGAGGTTTGTTGAGTACCAGAGGCTTAGGGATTGACCTGCAAAGACAAAAGGAAATCTACACCAGCCTCGAGGTCCTGAGGAAGAGCAATTCAGTGGAAGAGCTTTGCCTTGCTTATGTGAGGCCCTGTATTTGATCTTTAGAACCAAAAAATATTGAAAATGATGTCAAAGTACCTAAGAGACAAGTCGCATTAGAGGAAAAGAATTTTAATAAGTACACAAAATGGGTCAGAGAGTTTGTACAAAGGTTAAGCTGTTTTTCTTGCATGCTGCTGATGTTGGCTAGATCCCCAGCACCAAATGGTCTAACAAGTACTTCTGGAAATAGCCTCTGAGCACAAACTTACGAGTAACCCTTGAGCACTGTTGGATGTAACTTCAAACACACCCCAAAAAACTTTTTATTATTATTATTATTTTTTTGGTCATATCCGGCAATGCTAAGGAGTCATTCTTGGCTCTGCACTCAAAAAATCACTCCTGGCATGGCTCAGGGGACTGTTTGCCCAGGATTCAACCCAGGTCTGCCATGTGCAAGGCAAGCACCTTACCCACCCCACTATCTCCCCAGCCCCTCTTTCATTCTTTTTTTTGTCTATAATCCATATTTTATATCACAATGCAGTACTTGTAAACACGTAACTGGAGAGAAATAAATAATACATTCTTTTTTTTTCTCATCTCTTTCGGTCCCTTCCTCTCTTTAAATATCCATAATCCTAATATTTCAACTTCTCTTTTAAGGTCCCTAATCACCTTATATTTATTTCATGATTTCCTAGGTTGATGAAGATTCAAAATTCAAAAAACTGTTTCCCCTAGCCCACACAAATAACCTCTATTTTTTTTTGAAGGAAAATAGATTTGATTTGGAGGATTTTTGAGGGGTGGAGAGAGAGAAGAGAAAGGCCCTTCGACATATCCCAGCATTAGATAGGAAAGCATGAAAGTATACATATCAAGAGGAGAGATGCGGGCAACACATGTGCTCAGGCACCACATGTGCTCAGCCACGCGGACACAAGCAGCACATGGGCTCCAGCAGCGTATCCACTATAACCACTATTTTTAGGTTTGGGTTTTGGTTTGGTTTGGTTTGGGGGCCACACTTCGCAGTGCGTAGGCCTTTCTCTTAGTCCTGTGCTCAGGGATCACTACTGGAAGGGTTCGGGGGACCATATATGATACTGGGAATTGAACCCTAGTCGACTTTGCAAGGCAAGCACCTTACCCACAGTATGATCTCTATAGACACCTGCTTCCCGTTTCCTCCCTGAGCTTCCACTCATTCCATTATGTCTTTGTACAAAAAAATAAGTCCAGATACATTTTTATACAAATTGATGTATGACTACATAAACACATAGTCAATCTCATATTACCATTTTCCTGCCCAGATGGCAATCAGATATACTAGACAACTCCCTTTTTTTTTTTAATTTTTATTGAACATTACATCTTGGTGGAGTGGGGGAGCTCTAGATTTGATTTTTTTTTTTTTTTTTTTTTTTTTTTTGCTTTTTGGGTCACACCTGGCGATGCTCAGTGGTCACTCCTGGCTCTGCACTCAGGAATCATTCCTGGCGATTCTCAGGGGACCATATGGGATGCTGGAAATTGAACCCGGGTCGGCCGTGTGCAAGGCAAATGCCCTACTCGCTGTGCTATTGCTCCAGCCCCGACAACTCTCTTTTTAAAGAAATTGTTCATACTAGTATTGATGTCAAAAGGGTTTTGTTTGATATTTTTGTCCTGGACTTTGGGTTCATTTTCATTTCAAACAGATTTTCTTAAAAATCATTGAGCCATAGGGGCTGGAGCCAAAGGACAGCGGGTAGAGGGGCCCCTCGCACAAGGCCAACCTGGCTTCAATTCCCAACACAACATATGGTCCCTTGAGGCCACCGGGAGTGATCCCTGAGGTGTAGAGATGGGAGCAATCCCTCAGTACCATTGGGTGTGGCCCAAAAATAAAACAAAAAGAAAAATCATTGAGCCATAACTGACTTATATTAGATAACACAGTTCTGAAGTGTCCCAATGGTGTATTAACCCATTGTGAATTCCTGTGAAACTTCCATCAGAATCAAACACCTCTATTACTCTCAAAACTTTCCTTGTGTCCATTTGTAACCCCAGTCTCCTGCTCCCTGATCGTGTCTTTGCTCCCAAGCACTGATGCTCTGTCTGTCATTACAGCTGGGTTCTCATTTTCTAGAGTTTTAGAGAAATGCAATGGTACAGAATGCGCCATTTTTAGATCTGACTTTCTTGGCAACATAATTATTTGGTGGTTCATTGCATTTTGCTGCATGTGTCAGGAATTCAATCCCTTTTACTGCTAGGCAATTTTCCATTGCATAGCTAGATTGCATTCAGTTTATCCATTCTGCTTATAGTCCGTTTAATGGTTTCTATTGGGGGCTATTCCACATAAAAATGCTCTAAGCAATAATGTAAAAGTCTTTGTAAAGACATGCTTTTCATTTCTCTTAGGAATAGAATGGCAAGTCATATGGTCACTGTCACTGTCATCCCGTTGTTCATTGATTTGCTTGAGAGGGCACCAGTAACATCTCCATTTGTCCCAGCCCTGAGATTTTAGCAGCCTCTCCTTATTCATCCTTCCCAACACCCATATTGAAGGCTCTTTTAGGGTGAGGGGAATACTGCCCATTATTGTTACTGTTTTTAGCATATCGAATATGCCACGAGTAGCTTGCCAGGCTCTGCTGTGCAGGTGGGATACCCTCGGTAGCTTGCTGGGCTCTCCGAGGGGGATGGAGGCTTTTGGGGTGACCTCTAATCACTTTTACAGGTGTTCCCAGTCTGCTGAATGCAAGCTTTTGGTGTGCTGGCTTGTATGAGTGTCTGATTGACAATTTCAGAACTTTCCAAAATATTTGTACTATTTTACATTTACATTTACATATCTACCAGAAGTGCTCCAGAGCACAGAAGAGCCTGACAAGCTCCCTGTGGCATGTTTGATATGCCAAAAACAGTAACAAGTCTCACAATGGAGATGTTACTGGTGCCCTCTTAAGCAAATAGATGAACAATGGGAGGACAGTGCTAGTGCTACCAGAAGTGCACTAGATTTTGGTGGCTTCATATCTTTATCCACCCTTAAGTTCAGTCTGTTTATTTTATTTGGTTTTGAATCACACCCAGGACCAATACTCAGGGCTTACTCCTGGCTCTGTACCCCAGGGATTACTGCTGGCAGG